TCCAAACAAATCATACAATTAAAACAATTAACAGCGTTTAAACAATCAACAACAATTAATTAATTATTAGTATTTTGATTGCTCGCTATGAATCATTTTTTTATTTCTTAACATCTATATTGTTGTTTGTAGACATAACGACGTTATCAAGGCTACGAACAATAACGTGCGTATTGTTTGATTGCTATCGGTTGAACGTGAATATGAACTTCCCATAAATATCAAAATTATTTATTAGGTAACAAAAATTATAGAGCTTGGTAAACGACTATCGTATACAGATCAAGACAGCATTGGAATATATTATTACATACCTTCGACCTACCTACCTTTGATTATTTATAATACCAATTAGGGAACTTTAAATCTTATAATTGCCCCTTAATGGCTTGTCATTATAAAATGTAAAAAACCATTGACGTTTTTACATTTGTCTCGCAAAACCGCTTAAGTGTATATTAATAGTAATGTTCAAGCTATGTTTTTTGTTGGAGAATCACATCGAAGGAATCTACATCCGCTCAGAAAAATACGTAATTATGTATAATGTACGGATTATTCTCGTGGGTGATTTTGGGAACAAGTAAATGCCACCTATTCAGGTAGTCGATTTTAGATAGAATTTATGACATGTAAATTCCACAGTTCATTTTCTTGACCTATAGGTAAACGTCACTGCCATTAAAAGTAATTCCAACGATATTATAAAATAACTTTTGATAACGGCCATGCCATTTTAAATGCTATAATTTTTATCAATATCATAGTATATTAGTATGGGATAAAGTAAGCTTATGAAATAACTATTGGGAGCATCTAATATTAGTATAATATTGGATTTTAGAATAATAAAGGTGTAGAAATGTTGATATTACTAAAAGTAGAAATATAATTAAGTAATTTACCTAAGTGTTAATATTAAAAAATTAAAATTAAATATTTTAGATAAGCTAGACTTTTAATCTCAAGTAGCAAACGTCAAATTGATCGAGATATATTGATATCTCCATACGATCTATATCTATTTCCAATTAATCTAATTGACGATTAGATCAATTGGTATGTTTAGTAAAAAACAAGTCTAAAATACTATGTCATGTGTGTGTTAGACAAAAACAGAAAATCACGGTATCGCATCCCCTTAATGCATTTTTTTAAAGTATTAAATATTAAGTAAAATCGTATCATATAATATTATTTTCTTCAAGTAGATCAGCGGTTCTTAAACCGTTGTCCGCGGCCCCCAGGGGGTCCGCGATACTTATGTCGCGGGTTCGCGGCAGCCTTAACTCATAACATATTACATCAGTACATTGACATGAGTACATTATTATAATATTGTTGGATTATTATTATTTTTTTTCATATATATATAATAATATATAGATTCTACATCAAATAATTGGATTTTTAATATTTTTTAAGTTATCAGTTTTTCTTGTTCATACGAAATGTACAAGCCCGTACAGCACTGTAGACTTATAGTTATTGCCACTAAGTGTAGTTGATCGATCGTACTCAATTATAGTTTTATATTACAATTTTGTAAAAAATTAATTGTAATAAAAATAATTGTAAATGTCTATGTTTTGTTATGTCTACTTAATATGTAATTTATAATATAAAATAATTATTATATAAGCCAAATAACCAAAACATAGAAACATCAAGTACCCAGCTAATTGATATAGCATATGATATTTTATATGATATTATTATCTCTTGCCTTTACCTCATTTAATTCTGATAGTGCATTGATGAACGAACGACCCCACGATTTTGTGTTATTTTAAAATAGACCATGTAGATACATAAGAAACAATTTGTTATAAAAATTAAACGAGCAGTACCTACATAAAACCTTATGAACACATGGTACTAGTGCATGGGTTCTTAGGCCATATCTACAAACTACACAAATGTCTTCCTCACCTCCAAAAATATATTTAAACTTCACATGTCTTGTTGTTTGTAATCCTGCTGATAATTGATCTACAACAATATGCATATTTTTGCTAATATTTTTGAGGTGTTCTTAAATTAAAAATTAACCAATTAATTATAATATTAATTAGAAAAGGATAACAAATATAATTTTCATAAAACATATGTTGTACTAGGATGACTGTAAATTATTTTAGTCAAACACATTTAGTATGCTTTTTATAGAATTTTAAATTAAGTTTATAGGCAGGTACAAATATTTTAAAACATTTTTTAGACTGAAATAACATTGTCCACAAATTTGGGTGCATCACCTGAAATGTTTGTTTTAACGTACAGTGGAAACTTTCGATATTGTTGTTAGTCCGACGTGGTTGACCGTGCACAGAAAAACACTTCTGTCCTTTTCTTATAAATCAAAAACTAAATGCATGAAATAGGATTAGGAATATTATACTTTTATGTGAATTTTAGTTTTATAGACATAAAAGTTTGCCTAAAAAAGTATGTGAAGAATCTTGGTAATAGTATTTCGTTATTTATGGGCATAATTTTTCATTTCTTGGAAGCCTTGCTCAATTTACTTACTTGAATAAATTGATATATTTTATATGCTGCATAACTACAACCAAGGAACATAAAATACCCTGCTGTTTCATACACCACTTTGTATATTATGTCCCTATCACTTAGTTCGGCTAAGATAAAAATAAAAATAAATGTATTATTTTATTTTTTAGTTAACGATATATGTGTGTAGGATAAATTATGTATTGTTTACTATTGATAGTGTCCGGGTCCCATTGAATTTTTGAATTACAAACATCTCCATTACAACAACACCTCAGACGAAATGTGGGGTAAACAACACTATCACGGTTTACGCTTTCTTTTTGTTCGCAGTCATGCCTTTAAGTACAACCCTATAAATTGTTATTAAAATAAAAACATGATAAAATTAAACACAATTCTATAATTATTAAGTTACATTATCTTAATCATTGTAACTGCGTATCGTTATACCAAACGGCATAACAATACGCTGGCTCTTTATCTAATTTACAATTATCCACATAAGTATTTGTGCAGTTGTCGTTTGTTGATCCATCACGCCCCGTCTGATCATAAAATTGACATTTTAAGGCAACCACACAATTACTTACTAGAATACCAATTAACAGTATAATTGTCAATCTTCCGGTTATCTCCATTTATCTGGAATTTTCAGAAATAATATTTTACAATTTATTTTCACTTCAAATTTGTAATCTCAACACATATGTCTATGTATATAGTTAAAACATTTAACGCATCGAAGATATCATTTTTAATTTAAAATTATTATGCATTTAAATAAAAGTAATATTTAACTTACTACATAGGCATTATATACACATGCAGTAGAGTCTATTATAGCTTATCAGAACATCCTGACACACATGCCAAAAAAATAATAATATTTCTATTCCTTAAAAACACTTGATGCCAAATTCATTGGTGCAAACTTTAGCCAAAACTCTATTCAAATGGTTTTTGGGATTAGTACCTCCAACTGACTTTAAAAGTCTTTAAAGACTTGTGAAATAAAAAAAAATTAGTATTTATTCAAATGTAATTGTAAATGAGTATCTAACCAATTTTGAAACAAAATCTGATGAGTTTTGGATTTGATTCTCTATCAGATTGAATCCATTTGTACTATTAATTGGGAATAGTGTTAAAAACTCAGTATCCAGATATAATATAGAATAAGTATCCAGGTTTTTATTTTTAAGATTCGCTTCAATTCCTTCAATTTTTACCATCACACAATTAAGCATAAGATTAGTAGCAATTTTTTCTGTATTGCTATGTATAACTTATTCAGAACTTCAATTGATTTATTTTTTAAATCATCAAAACCCTTTAATGCGTCAAATAATCAAATAATAAATTAATAAATAGAAATAATACCTATAATTTGATTATATAATAATTTAATGTCATATTATTACCATGAGTATAAGAACACATTTACGTTACCCTAACAGCAACAACACGTATCTCCAAAAGTACAATTTTACAGGAGGACCAAAAAACCTTTTAATTTTGAAAGTCTAAACATTTTAGGAACTTTTGATACTGAATTAAGTTTTTTAGTTATACTTGCAAATTTATACATAACAAACACCAATTTATTATTGTTATTAGATTATTTAGTGTAGATACGAGTTATTAACAACTTATATTCAGATACGTGTAGTTGTTACTAGTAGATACGTGTTTTTGATACATACATTTGAGGGTATAACAGCACGTAACTGAATTGTATTAATTATTTAAATTAATAATAAATTACCTTTTTTGTTGAATAAAATGTATTAAATTTGATTTTCAAGTTGAATATTTCATCAAAATATAAGCACATTAATAAGAGCAATAAGTTCTAATAATTTCAATTAGTGGGTGGATATTTAACAATGTAAATAATAACAGCATGATATAAAAACATTATTTTTTATTTTACCAGTTTTTTGTTTTTATATTATAATACAATTAAATAACAATTTAATAACATTCTTTTGGTTTCATATAAAATAATAATTAAACAAAATAACAATTAACATACTTTAAAGTTTAAAGTGATAAAAAAAATCATTATAACAATACAAATTGCACTAAAACAATTTAATAACCAGTCTTTTGGTTTCATATAAAATAATAATCATACAAAATAATAATATTAATATAATTATAATGTGAAAAAAAAACATAATAACAATACAAATTGCACTAAAACAATTTCATAACCAGTCTTTAGGTTTCATATAAAATAATATTAATATAATTGTAGAGATAAAAAAAAATTAGAATAAGAATATAAATGTCACTAAATAATTTAACAACCAGTCTTTTGGTTTCATATAAAATAACAATATGAATATAATTATAAAATGATAAAAACAAATTAGTATAACAATACAAACTGCACTAAACAATTTAATAACCAGTCTTTTGGTTCTATATAAAATTAAAATAATAAAATGTCAAAATAACAATTAATATTAAATAAAATATTAAATTTTACCCTTCTTAGTTTTGAAAGATGAAGCATGCTCTAAACTGTCATAAAATGAATGTGTGTCTACTGGAAGAAATTGTTTGAGTTTTTGAAGATCTTGATATTTTGATAATGTGATACTTAATGGTTTTTTATAGAGGTTTTCATATTTTATTTCATTTTGCATTAATACTGGTTTTCTTCCAACAGGTATATCGTCATAAGGTTCATCAAATATTAATTTGTACATAATTCTCTTTGTAGTTGGATCATAAAGTAAGTATCCTTAACTTCAGGATCCCCTTTTGTGCGACCAGGCCTAATAGATGCATAGGTTTGATGTGTTTTAAAATTTAAAAAAAAATCATAATTTAACAATGTAGCCAGAGGCGTGTCTAGGACCAAAATTCAGGACAGGCCTGGTTATAAAAATAACTTGTATAGTCAACACATTTTGAGTTTAAGAAAAATTTTATTAATATACTGTTTAAGTCATAAGTATGACGTGTAATATTTGTTATCTAATAGCCATGTCATAGTTTTTGACGCTCAACACTACGGCGGTGATCGCCGACCAAACGACGACGGTCGTCGGGTCGTGTAATATCTATATAGAAATATGGGGTATTTCCAAGAAGCGCTTGAGAATTGACGATACATTTTACGGGGAGTAACCGAATTGGTTCCCGTTTGGCCGAATTGGTTCCCGTCTGAAAAAGGTATTTCATTAAGTTGAGCCGAATTGGTTCCCGTTCAAAAAAGGTATTTTATTAGGTTGAGCCGAATTGGTTCCCGTTTGTGTACAGGTAATTTTTAATTTTTAATAATTGGTACAAAATATAAATTAGACAGTATAAAATATAAATGTACCTACATGGCTATACTCTATAATATATAATATAATATACAATAAGATGGCTATATATTTATATATTGGAAGTTTAGCAAATTATCGGTGATTTCCCGATCAATTAAGATAACGATTGAGATATATGTACTTTTATCGGTGTATGGTACATCGTCTATATCGTATGTACGAATGACAATAATGTTGGTGAACAGTGAGCACTGTACAGCCTCGAATAACACATCGTGTAAATTTTTAATTTATATTTCGTATTTGAATTTATATTTTTTAATTTTAATTTTTCGTAATTATGGAGTTTATGTTTAGTGAAAAGGGAACTAAGTTGTTGATTATTGACAATTACAAGTTGGAATTTTTATGGAGACTTTAAACAGTATTCAGACATTAAATTATATTAAATTTCGAAGTAATAATACTAGAAAACTTACTAGCAAACAAGAAAAAAATAACAAATTCTTGGAAAATTGTATGACTGAGTACACCAAGATGAAGCTTACGCGAATTGAATATTTAAAGAAAGTTTGCTTCAAATTTGCAAATCAGCGTTTTTAAACATTTAAATTTGTTATATTTTATTATTTGTATTTTTTACCTACACCTAGTGATAATTGACTTCCGAATCAACGATTGAAAATTGTATATATTATATCATTTTTTTTATAACACACATTGACGCACATTTTTAACCAAGCCTACTTTTAAGTTGACAGTCCTAAGCCTGTAAAATTGAGAAGGAAAATGTGCGTAATTAAACGGGAACCAATTCGGCCGAACCCAACAAAATACCTTTTTCAAACGGGAACCAATTCGGTACACCCCAAAAAAACACCTTTTCCAAACGGGAACCAATTCGGCATGTGGGGTTGGAGCTCGGGAACCAATTCGGTACCAGCCATTTTACGATTATTAATTTTATTTAAAGACAAATATTTATTTTGTTTACAACAAAAAATATGATCGATATATCGTGTGCTTATTATATATAATTTTAAAATGCATATTTTGGGTATACTTAAAGGTTAAAAATCAGGGTAGGCCCGGGCCTACCAGGCCTACCCACTGGACACGCCACTGAATGTAGCTCCTAGTTGTGAAGGAGTTTTTCTTGCTGCTTTGGTTATTCTAATGTAATCTGAAGGCAAGTGTATGTCCTGTCCTTTAAGTTTTCTCTCGATAAGGCTGTGAACACTGTCACACTGCATTTGGGTATGCCCTTTAACAAGATACTTTTGCTCAATAGTTACTTGATGTTTATCTGCAAAATGTAATAATGCATTTGCCATAATCACATTTCGATTTTGATATCCACACCCATCAGAGTATATGATTATGGGTATTTTTTCATTCAAACAATATTTTTCCAAGTGTTTTATAACTATAGATACAAAAACTGAAGCCTCTAGTTCACCATTACCTTCGTGCCACCAGTAATTTTGACAATCTGCAGTTGCATTATTATAAATTGTCATATTATGAACTGTTAGTTTCATTGAATAGTACAATGCACTTGTTTGCAGTACAGGACAAAGTTTTACTGCCTGACAATCAATTGTAAGTACAGTACAAGATTTTTTTTCTTTGGCCAGTTTTGTATCCTTTTCTTTTTCTTCTCTTGCCCTAACTTTATGGGCAATGTGTTCAGCATAATCATTTTCGTTTACTTCGCCAATATTAAATGAGGTACAAAAATCACATTTATCTTTTCGTGGGAGATAAATTGAGAGTTTATTTTCAATCATGAAGTTTGATAAATAACTGTTGCTTAATGGAACCAAACTATCTTCAACACATTTTAATTTGTAAGCATCCATAATTTCTTGCTTGCAGTAGAACGGTCCTTCAAGGTACAATCTGTCAGTCTTACTTCTACAATAATGCGATGGCATTTTTGGCAATGTAGAGAACCAGTTCTTTAAGTGATTGATTCTTACTGCTAAAGATTTTTTTGGCGTGGTGAAATTTCAACAATGCTGCATGATTCTTGTATCTTTCCATTTTTAATTTTTCCTGGCAATCCATGAATTGCTTGTTTTGTCCAATTTTGAACCATCCATTCGTTTAATCCAAGAGTATTTAAGAACATTATTTTACAAACTTCAGAAGAACTGTGTTTTAAAAAGTAACTGAATGTATTAGACCTCCTGCTTTCATTGCCAAGCCCAGTTGTATCTCTTTTACGTAATGTAAATGTTACCATACTTGTTACATACGTATTTTTTCTCCTCCCAGGTAGCAGACCAATAAGTTTTAAATATATCATTTCTCATTTCTTCATTAAATTGTTGACAATATCTTGAGTTGATGCATTTTTTTAGAACTACATCTTGGTTTCATAGTTCTTTCTCTTCTTATTTTGTTATGTTCAACAATTTTACCATTTCTACTGTAACCCATGTAACACTCTCCATGCATTCTTTTTTTTTTACTGACTTCACGTTTCCATTTCAATATTTCTTTTTTTGTACTTCGTTTTCTTTTATTACCAACAACACTTTCACAATCAGATAAATCAACTTCTTCTGGGCTTGTAGCATTTACAATAACTTCACTTTCATTACTCGCCACCATCATAATATTATCTGAATCGTGGTTTTTTAAATCAAATGAATAAGGATTAACTAACTCATTAATTATTAAATTCATATTATTAGTATCTTCTAAATCTGATATTGTTTCAAATGATTCTACCTATATTATACTCCAACAAATTTTTCTAGTTCGGTTCTGGTTTAAAAATAAAAATTGTTTATTTATATTGTACCTAAGTGTTCAAAGTATAAATAAATTACATTATTATAGCGTTATGACGTGATCTATACTCTATAATCTATACCATATTACCATGGCGTATGGTCCATACACGAATCTCTGGAGTTGTAGAATTTGTTTCGATTTTCTATGCTTCTGATTTTCACTAGACAGAGACACTGCAGAGTGAAAAGTTCGTTTCGTACAGCGATTTAAAAACATAATGGAGTTGTTATATTTTATCGACTGACTATGAGCAGACTACTGAGTATCTAAAAGATAATATTTTACTTTTAGATTCTGCGAGCGGTGAATAGATCCGCTCGAGCGATGACTGCATTGAGTCGATTGATTATGTGTGTTTTTTAAATTAATTGTTGTGTTTGTCATCGCCTTTTGAAATAGTAAAAGTGCTTCAATCATCAACCTTAATATGTTTTCTGGTAGGAAAGTATGAATTGAATTTGTACTTTTCTTGATGAAAAACTGCCAAAACCTAATTTGAGATAACGGGAATTAGTACGCAAAACCTGCAGTTTTCGATAAAATCGATTTTCTTATTTTCTTGTAATTCAAAAACGAATAATAGTAGAAACTTGAAACTTTCACCATACGTTTATGTTAGATTTTTATAAACCTTCACGGCATAATTTTCATAATATTTTGGTTCTTTTAGAGCTATTTTTAAATACATTTAAAATTTACGATTTTTTTTCCAATGAATTTCGATAAAAAATTAAGCTCCCAAACTGAAATTAAACATAGTTGAGAGTAAATCTACAATGATTTTTTTATCAATGTTTGAAGTTAGAATTTTGATGAAATTCGACAAATTCGAAAAAATCGGCAAAGGATAGGCAAGTATATTATTTTTTCGGTCTCATGACTTCATACAACTGATCATACATAATATTTAAAGTAATCTCTCTTCAAAATTGTGACCCACAATAACATTTCATATTTTACACATAATCATTTTAATCATTGAATTATTGATTGTTTTCCATCGATGTAAGATAATTGAAGCAGAACATTATTTTACTATAAGTATGTGTTATAAATAAATAACGTTAAAATAATTAGGGCTGTGAATCTGATGCACTGTAAGATCTTTACATTATATTCAATATTTTTAAAACAGCATAAAATCACATTAAAAAATCAAAATACCATGCAGGGCCGGTGTAAGCTATATGGGTGACCTGGGCGACTGCCCATGGCGTCAGCACGGAAGGGGCGCCAAACTGAAAATTATTTGTATTTAATTTATCTTTTAATACGCATTTACAATCTATACAATTTGAAATATTTCTTGTCTAATGGGGTTTTAATTGAAGACACATCTGCCATTGTCTCATATTTGTAAAATGAACTATCGTAATTCGTAAGAATAGAATAGCTTTTCACAGTAGCGGATCTGAAGCTCGTTTAAGGAGGGAGCGAATTGGTATCATAAAATTTCAATATATACATATTAGTCAATAGGCATATGTAAAAAATAAAAAAAATTAACCCGTATAAAAATTGAAGTCTTTTATTCAATATTAATTAAGATAAGTAAACAAATTTATTAATAATTTATTTATAGTAACAATTTTATATTTCTTTTTTTACAAGCCGCAAATCTGTCAATGATTTTTTCCACATCGATGTCAATATCTCTATGTGTATTGAGTAAGGCTAGGTAACCCAGTTAACCTTTCCTCACCCATGCGTGACCTCATCCACGTTTTTAATCTAATAAACAAAGCAATAAACAAAATACTAAAAGCAAGAAAGCATAAGCATAATATGGTCATCAGTTTGGCAGGAAAATTATAGGAAATAAAATTGCAAAATATGCACTAAAAATGTTAAAATATACCTACATTAATTTTAAAAATACTCTTTAAATTATAAATGTGGAAGTTTAAACAAAAATATTTTGTAATAAGCTCTAATATTAAGAGGACGCATGTGGTGTCACTGTCTTTAAAAATATATACGACACAGAAAAAACTGTTTTGAATAGGATAGAACCACTCAGGCTGTAGTGATAGCAAACACTCCAAATCCATATACAATTTAGTTCCGAACAGTATCTGTAAAATATCGTTATTTTTTTGATATGACATATACGGAAAAAAGTTCTTATTGTTTCAAAATCTATTATTTTTTTGTTTTTTTCAAACTTCAATAACTGTTTTTCTGTAGTTGCGATATCGAAAAAATAAAAACGATATTTCACAGCTAATGTTTTTTTTTTTTTTTGTGTTGAAAATTTCATTTCTTATTTAGATACCGACTACTGTAGCTTTCTCGGTTCTTTTCTAAGCTAAAACAGTTTTTGCCATGTTTTATATTTGTAAGACGGAGACAACACATATGGGTGTAGTAGCAGCTCCTTGGCGGTAAAATTATATTATCATTCTATCTATAATCAAAAACTATAACCGTGGTAAGTTGTCTACAGTGATTGTGGTTACAACTTACAACTAATTTGTTTTTAACATAATCTTGTTATTTAAATTCGATAATTTATAAAGAATAATCAAATAATAATATAATTGATTAGATATTAAAAAAAAAAATACGTTTTTCGTATCATTTATTAAGTTTTAAGTTACAGTTATGACTTATGAATTTGCTATAATTCAAGTTAAAAAAAAAAAGCCCAGGGGGGGTAATCGCCACGTCACTCCCCCCCCTCCCTCAAATCCTCCACTGGCTATGCATCGATACCGCGATAATATTTAACCATTTATAAATAAAATTATATAACTAGACGATTACGTCTAGATTCGTTAGAAACTAAGGATCAAAATGCTGGGAAAATTTCGGAAAAACTTACTTACGTAGAATCTTGTTTTAAATTTCCAATCCTTAGATATAAAATTTGAACATTTTATAAATTTTTAACAACAAAATAATTATTCAATTTTAAATTTGATAAATTTTGTCAAAATTCGATCTTTAAATGCTTATAAAAAAAAATTGTACCTATGTATTTTTAATATTTTTCAACTGATATTGTAAAAATATATCAGGAGCCTTTTATTAAATTTTTACACTTTTTGGCCCAACAGATAAAACTTTATTGATATTTAAAGAAAAAAAACCTAAAAAAATTTAAAACTGAAAATGTCCGTAAACAGCTCAAAAAGAGTCAAAATTATTTTATGGTGTATAGGAAATGCTAATATAAACATTCAGTAAAATTTCCATGTATCTACAGTTAGGAACAAACAAGGAAATCGCTACATGAGAAATCGGGTGAATATCCAATGTTGTAAAAATTTGAATTTCATACGCTCATAAAAATTTAATTTCACTTTCTTATATACATTTTTTTTCTGATAAAGTTAGATAATCTTTTAAAATCTTCGATTTAAAAAGAAAAATATTTACAAATTCTTAACTCAAAATAATTTGCTAATTTTCGTGATTTTTCCATATTTTGTTAATATTTGAACTTTAAATGCTTATAAAAAAAATTGTAACTGTGGAATTTTAATTTTTTTTATGTGCCTTTGAAACAATAAACTAATAACATTCTATTAAATTTTTAAGCTTTTTTAACCAACAAATAACATTTTATCGATATTTATAGAAAAAAAACTAAGAAAAATGGAAATTGAAAATTTTCGTAAAGAGCTCAAAATATTTGGAAAATATTATGGTGTATATAAAATACTAATATAATCATTCAGTCAAAATGTCATGTACCTCCGGTCATTTGTTTAAGAGTTGCACCAAAAACCAAAGTCGATTTTTTCGAAAACAGATTTTGTGTAAAAATTCCCGTTTTTCCTTAATTTTTCTTTTGTTTTTAACGGTGCGTCAGAAAACTACTGTTAAGATTTTACTTTTGACCCCCTCCCCCCAAAGTACCAACAAGATTCACTTTCCTATCAGAAAAGGTACTGTTGAAGAAAATCCAAGCACTTTTACTGTCCTAAAAGGTGATGACAGACACAAAAAAAAAAAAAATACACACCGTTGTAAAATCAATACCTACATTCATCGTTAAACTCAGAATCTAAAATACCTAATATATTAATTTTATTTGGAATAAATTGCATTGGTTAAATGTAGGTACTAAATATTTTTAGATATAAATTTATATTATAAATTATCAATGAATAATTTGCATTCATTAAAATATACCTTTTAAGGGTTTAACCATATACAAACGACTTACACAGTGTGTAAGTCACAAACAATAACTGAATTTACTATTTTGAAGAAAAAGTGGCCTGACGAAAGGGCGTGGTTTGTAAATCGTGTTAGACGTAAACATTAACACATAATACAAACATAGACATCGGTAACGTATATATTAATTAGGAAATTAGTGGTACATATAGGTTTTTTTTCTTCGAAATTCTTTTTTTGTGATAAAAAGGTTCTGATGTAGTAAAAATTTACCACATGTACCTATACGAGTAGTTTTACCGTAAAAGGTATATTTACTCGCCGACTGTATTTTTTATAAACGTGTTAAAAAGTAAATCGTACGAATAATAAAATAAATTATATAAATAAAACACTATACATCTTAGACTCCTGTAGGTTAGTATATCCATAAATCTCAGCCATGACATCTTCTGGGGAAATTTAAAATAGTCTATGCAACGCCTAAACAATAATACCATTTTGCCAAAAACAAATATCGTATATATGTATATTAGTGGTAACGTAAACCTTTTTGTTAATACAATAAAAGAAATTAACCAATTAAACAGAATAAACCAATGTAGTATTAAACACCCCAGTCCCACAAGTATTTAAAAAAAGATAGTTTATTTTACAATGCATGAATACAACGGTCAATAATTAACTATAGTATTGTCATTGTTTCAGCATTATTTATTTTCTGGAAGCAAGAAGAGTGCTAGAAATTTATAAAATGAATT